TATTTCTTTCTTCCAACCTGCCCCTCAATGTAGTAGGCTACTTAAATGGCATCAAGCAAAAACTTAAGCTCCAATTTGTGTGTTAAGCAATGAGCAATAAATTATGTGCTCAATAAGGAGAAACTTACCCCGCAAAAAAAATGTTCTATATAATTCAAATGTCGTATCAACGTCCATTTTTATCGCCATGCTCCCATATGTTTGGATTTATTTTGCACAAATAAGAGCACAAACCGTAGACTTCGTCAAATATATAAACTACCATATTTGATACACTCTAGTTGAAAAATTAGAAGTTGCTACTGACGGTGTCCTACATTAGGGGGTACCAACCTAGGCGACCCATAGTCCATGGGCCGAGCTTACAGCCCGCCAACCTCCATAAGGAAGGACTCCAGAAGCTTTGAATCATGGTGTGATCAAGACGAAAGCCGCCAAAGACTTGGCGTATACTTCAAGAACAACTCTAATAGTCATCGTGTTTATTCCTAGTCGGCAACCGACCATTTGTAACCTGGATACCGTCGGTGCCTATATAAGCTGAGGGGTTTAGTTTGTAGAGACACGATTACAAGCCTTAGGGTTTAGAACACAATATACGATCTTGAAGTAGACCATATTGTACTCGATACTCAAGCACATCAATATAATCAGAGTAGGACGTAGGGTTTTACCTCTTCGAGAGGGAACCTGGGTAAACATCGTCTCCCTTATCTCCTGTTACCCATTGTTCCTAGATCCACAGTTCGAGACCCCCTATCCGAGATCATCCGGTTTTAGTACCGACATTGGTGGCCCATGCAGGTCCCGCTGTGTGGTCAGAAAGGATCAATGTCTCGTCTTCAGATCAACAACAATATTGGTTGTGGTGACATCTTCGTCCCCAGTCCTGCTTTTTACATTCGGCAGCGTCGTTCTCCATGCCAACTCGACCGGCCATCTGGACCATGTCGAGAGCTTCGTCCCGAACCAAGTCATTACGTTTGGGAGTTTGGAATATACCGCCGACTCCCGTGGCGATCACGCTCGGCTCGAGAACCCTTCAGGCACCGTGGCCTTAACCCAGAGCCGACCTCTAACCCAAGCCTCGGGCCAGATCTCGCACCAGACTCAACTCCAAGTGCGGATCCGATCATCGTCACATCGGGCCCAACCTGAAGTGTCGATCCGACTACTATCTCATCGGGTCTCGACCTCGAGCCAAGTCCGCCCTTGGAACCGGTGTTAAGCTCGGATCCGATCTCTTCGCCAGCATACCAGGAATTAACCATGGCTGGCCAAAGCTCCGAGGTTGCGTCAAGCGGTCCACTGAGCGTACTGCAAGTTAGCCCGACCTACAGTCAAGTGATGAACCCAGCAGATCTCTCGCACTTAAACGAGATGCTAGACCGAATTCGGAATCTCATAATTTCGTCCTCAGTCTACGACCAAATCGGATGTAAAGCCGATGATAGGGAAATTTACGTCTCACCCACCACCCACCCAGTCGCTACGGTCGAAGATTTAACCGACGCACTGAACTACGCCTCCGATGAGGCAACCGACATGGATGAGGATGTCGTTGGCACATCAGGAGCAAACTCACCAATGGCCATATCCCATACCGGCAACTGGCCCGCAACCTCTACCTATGATGTTTATATGGTAGACACCCCCAAGAAGGATGGGAAAAAGCAAAAAGACTCTCCCAAGCGCCGACGTAGGTGATCCAGGGGCGTTGGTAGGGGCA